GCTGCCCCCCCCCCGCGCCCCCCCCGCGAGCGCGGGGCCTGCCCCTCGGTGCGGGGGGTGGGAGCTGCGGGCCCTGCTGCCCCCGGGTGGAGCGGTGGGACGGGGCTGCAGCACCGCGGTGCCCCGGGGGTGCCCTGGGGGTGCCCTGGGGTGGGGGTGCCCTGAGGGTGCCCTGGGGGCCACCGGGATCGCGGCAGGCACGGGGCACCGTCCTGGCTGGAGCAGCTTTCCTGAGACACGTCACAGGCCAGAAAACAGGGTTGAAGATGTAAAGCCCCGTGTGCTTTAAAAGAGTTTAACAGCTTGCATCTGGGAGTTGTTTGCTTCTTGGCTGACAGTCACTGTGCTTCACTGCAGCTTAATTTAAAAAGTGATCTCCGAAAGCAGGTTAACAGTGATAATTTTATTACAAAATGACTTGATTTTAATGTCTTAGTCATACATCTAAGACACCCCAGCATACCATAGCAACAGATAGATCACAGTTTTTAGCCTTGTAGCAGCGTATGGTCTCCTTTCTAGCACTTCTGGTTATCATCTCTTAGCTGAAGTGCCAGAACTGCTGCTCATAGCTTAAAAGTTGGAAATAAAATATCATCCACCAGAAAGACAGCTGCTGGTGTGAAAAACTCTTCAGTTTTACTTAACTGGGTAGAGCAAGTGCTGTTTGTGAAAAGAGTAGCAGAGTCCTTTTTACCCATAGGTAGCCTCTGGGGAAGTCCCTTAGTCATGACTTTAGGTGAGGAGCAGAGTATTTAAAAAACAGTGTGAGGTATTTAGAAATGGAGTAGAGGTAATGAAGACTTAAGTTTGAACCCTTTCATACTCTCAGTTTCTCTGTCATTCATTTGTTGTTTGCAGGATCTGAAATATACTTGTCCTCAGCTTTTGTTTGTCCAGACCCCTAAATGACAGGCACATTTTATATGAGAGCATGTTAATGCTACCACTTAATGGCTTTACTTAATTATAGAAACTTTTGCCTTCATATATAGGTCCGTATGCTCAAATAAGGTTGTTATGGCTTGCCTTTAAGTATTTGTGTACAGACTGTTCTATTGGGGAACAGTATAACTATCTGCTCTGTTTAACATGAGAAAATGCTAATATTTTTCAGAATGTATGGCATGAGTTAAAGATTTTTAACATGCGCTTGTGTAATGGCCACAGTCTCTAGTTCTCTTTATTGTCCCAAACATTGTATTTTAATTTGAAACCTTCATTGGTTGAAAGTTTGCCAAATGTGTAATTCACCACTGATCTAACAGTAAGAGCAGGTCTAAACATGCACGGTAATACTGAGGTTGCCAGCCCTTTGCTTGTATCTGTGGATACCAAAAACAGCAGAACCAGTTCAGAATACTAGAACAACAGAATGCAGAACAAAATCTTGTTGTGCAAGTTTTAAAACTTTTATCTGTGTAACCTTTGTAAGGATTGTAGTGGGGTTTTTTGGGCTTTGTAATTAAGAAGCTTGAGTGCTCATGTTCCGCTCTGTCTTGCTGTGTTTCCTTCTGCAGTATATATAGCAGTGATGATGATGAAGAAGATGTTGAGATGTACGATCACGATTATGATGGCCTGCTTCCCAAGACCGGAAAACGTCACTTAGGAAAAACCAGGTGGACCCGCGAGGAGGTAAATCTGAGGTCATTCATCTCCTGCGTGTAAAAAGCTGGAGAGAGCATGGATCACCTTCTCCAAGTGGCTTATTTGCAACCTAACTTCAGCGACAGTCCCATGTGTATGAATGAGGACAAAGGTTTTGACCCTTTATCTACATTCAGTGTTTTATTTGAGTACTGAGTATTTGAGTTCTTTTCTTTTAAATAAAATGTCTAAACACCACTTTTTTATGTCCAACAAGGTCTGTATTACAGGTATGTGAGTCTGTGTGTAATCCCCTTTGGAGAAACAGATTAGAAGTCACCTGTAGGAATGCTTGATTATTACTGCTGCCTCTTTTTGTTTGAAAGTGGTTGCTATGAGAGGACTGACGTGTGCTCAGTGTCCCACAGCAGCAAACAACTGTGGCAGAAACTGCTGCAGTCCTTTTGTGCAGTTTGAAATCCTCACTTTAATTGCAGCATTATGATTCTGAGTGGAAATCAATTAAAAGCTGGAAGAAAGAAATCCAGCAGTGCCAAAATTGAGTGTTCAAGATGCATTTTGTTTTTGAAGGTCAGAACGTGTTTTAGTCACGATACCCTTGCGCTGACTTTCTGGGTAAATTGTGGTATCAAACTCCTTTGCCAGGTTGATATCCTGTGACCATTTAACTGGTTTGAGTTTATTGTGAAATACATTAATACTGTTCTTAAGTTATGCTTTGACTTTCTCCTCTCTAACAACATATATTGATACATAAACAGTGGCAGGTAACCTCTTGCAAGGACTTCTTTATTTTTGAAAAATCAGAGTCTGCTCTTACAGTGGTGGATGTGATTGTGATGTGGCCTGGGAGGAAGAGATGGCCGTGGAGCCCAATGGCCACTCTCTTGTCATATGGACTGGGAGTGTGCTGGGAGGCACTGATGGAGGAAGCTGCCCTCCTCTTATCTCTAAGGGCAGTCCTCTCTTGTCCTACGCTATCTCAATCTTGCCCAGAGCATGAGATTGGTTTCTTTTGTCTTTAGGGCCAATATTTCTGGCCTTATCATTAAAAATACTGGGCCAAATTTCTTGTTGTGAGCACGCAAAACTCCCTCACAGTGATCAGGAGCAAAAAGGAGTTTCACTGTGCATTCATTGTACACGGACAGGTAATGAGCAAATTACTGGACCTCCGTTTACTGACATATAAAGTCCAAGGCTTTGAATTTTGGAAGTTCCCAAACAGACAGGTGTCTGTTATGGAATTTCAGTGTTACTCTGATGCCTGGCATCTAAGCATCCATATTTTCCTCTAAATCCAGTACAAGAATAACTGTTCCATTGCTCTGAACAGCAAAAGTGGGAATGTATCGTTTAAGTCAAAGAATAGTACAGAAAACATCTGCCTTTCTCCTGCAGCACAGTGAAGAACCTACCAAAATTCATAGGAGTAGAAAAAAAATCTCAAGATTTAGGCAGTTAAAACTGTGAGAAGGTTACAGAACACCTCCCATTACTCTCAAGGCACAGAAATAGATGTATAAACAGCTCGAAGGAGGCTTAGGTGGTGTTTTTTTTAAAAATATATAATATCTGTCATTTGCATACTAAAATATTGCAATATTAATAATGTCTGGTTTTCTTAATGATTCAGGATGAGAAGCTGAAGAAGCTTGTGGAGCAGAATGGCACAGAAGACTGGAAAGTCATTGCCAATTTCCTTCCTGTAGGTGGATATTGGTTTCTGTTTCCAGTTCTAGTGACAACTCTTTATCAGAGGTTTCCAAGTAAGGGAAAGGGGAGTGGTTGCTTTATAGCTACATTTTGGCGGGAGATATAAAACCTCCACAAATGGAGACCTCAGAAATTTAGTTAGAATGTTGTGCAATCCCTTACCTTTAATTTGCTTTTCACTTTTTCAGAAAGGGTTAGAAAAAACAGACTAACAAAATGAGGGGTGGCAGGGTGTTGACCAGTAAATGGTCAGTACAACACTGAAACAAAAGGTCTCAGGACAGAAACATGAGCTTTGATGAGTTGTAAAGGATAGTTTAGAAGAGAATTGCTTTGTCAACATTGAGGCTGCTGTAGAAACCGTGCATGTGAAAGCATGACAGCTCTTGTGTGGATGGTGAAGATTCAGTGTGCTTAGTTTTGGTGATAGAGTCCTCACTGCAGGAATGATGGAAATCTTCTCTAGTTCAGTGAGCAAATTCATAGTTGAACACCTTCTTCTCAGACCTGCTGTATTGATCCATGTTGTTTAGTAGTCATAGTTGGCAGTGAAATCCATCAGGAACAAGTGCACCTAGATAAGAGCGTTATCACTCTACATTCATCTTGCCTACTTTGACCTACTTTGCCTGTTTTGCATTTCACTAGAATCGGACAGATGTTCAGTGCCAGCACCGATGGCAGAAGGTACTAAACCCAGAACTTATTAAAGGTCCGTGGACTAAAGAGGAGGATCAAAGGGTAAGCAGTTTTTCTTTTAATGCCTTACAAGCGGGTTTCACGTGTTGGGGCAAAACTCCTAGAGACTTTGGTGGTCTCAGGGCTAATATAGCCAGAGGCAGACCAATCCTATCAGTATCAATGCTTAGTATTTGCGTAATGCTTTCTAAGTTTTCTTAGAATTCTAATTCATTAATTAATGTTGCTTTACAGCACTGTCAAGTAGAATTTCAGTCTAGAAATGCCGTATCTATTACCAGGTGTTTCCTTTTGGGTGACAGTATAGATGGGGAATATTAATTGTGTGTTAGTTTTACCATGGCAATTTTGAGAAATATTGTTGAAAATATTGCTCCACCACTGAGGAATTTCATTGTTTCATTATGCATCGTTAAATACAGGCAGTTTTTATGTCCTTCTTTGAAGGTAATAGAACTCGTGCAGAAATACGGTCCAAAGCGCTGGTCTGTCATTGCTAAACATTTGAAGGGAAGGATTGGAAAACAGTGCAGGGAGAGGTGGCACAACCATTTGAATCCAGAAGTGAAGAAAACCTCCTGGACAGAAGAGGAAGATAGAATTATTTACCAGGCACACAAGAGGCTGGGAAACAGATGGGCAGAAATTGCAAAGTTGCTGCCTGGACGGTAATGACATTATACCTTTAGCTCTTAAATAGGAAAAAAGGAAAAAGCTGCAGGTCTTAACAGTCCTTTTCAGTTGCCTCAGGCTCAACTTTATAAATCAAAACATTTTGGTATCAAAACCTGGAAAGCCAGTGACATCAATGTGCGTTTTTCTCAATGGGGAACTGTGCTGTTTCGCCAGCACATGGAACAGTATGCTATTTTTACATGCTTTTCATGTTTGCCATAAGTACAAAACCCCAGTAACTACAGCAAGACTGTAACAGTTTCTTAAACGTCTGTGCAATCTTAGTTGAGCTTGCAATAACTGTCAAGATTTAAATTGATTTAACAGGGATGGATCAGGCTTTACAAGTGCAACATAATTTATACTCAGCTAAGGGTATACCTCCAACATGAAATCCAGACTGTTTATTCAAAATTATTTAAGAGAAGGCTGCCTCAGCATTTGTAATTGCTCCTGAATCATCCAGATTATTTTGACCTGTTAAAAATCCATATATTAAACAGGAGAAACTGACTTCCTCAGATTCTGGTCTGGAAACAGTTGTCTCATTGAAAGCTTATGCACAGCTGGCATTTAAATTTCAGAGATTCAGTGTCTTATTTGCTCTGCAGAAAAAGTGACTCAACATAAAGTGTAGTCAAACAAATAATGTAAGCAAGGGTGAGGTTTTCCTCCCCATTTTTATTCCTCCTGTTTGGTGAAACAGCTTCAGGATCTACATATAATGCCTAAGATCATGACAGCCTTTTAAGCAGGCATTCCCTGGGCTGCTTTCACCTTACAGAAGAAAATAAGAAAGGAATTACCCCTTGGAAAGGTTTTTTTGTAGCTTTCACACATCACAGATGCCCCTTTCAATGAGGTGATATTTTTCAGATAGGGTGCTGTTTCTAAGCGTACTCTTAAAATCTCACAGACATTTGCTTTTTCTGACTCCTGTAGGTGAGAATTTGAATCTCAGTTTTTTCATGCAGCTAAGAAAACACTCAGCAGCTTTGCTTACTGAGTTTGTGTGTAAAGCATGATGTTGTCACTGTCTAGGTGGCTGGTTGGAAAGTTGCTTGGAAGTTAGTCTTCCCACCATTGTTCGTCACAGTCTTTCTTTCCAGCAATGAGATACAATAAAATCCGCTAATATTAAGAGTTAGGAAGGTGATGGGTGCAGTCCATTAGGATGAACACCTTCAAAGAGGTGTTAGCATTTGATCTCACCTCACCTCATGGGATGGTGGTGAAGCTAAAGATACTGATTTCTTACAGTTTGAGGATGTAAGGCTTAGAGATTGCTTTAAAAAATAACATAGGTAACCTTAACACATTTGTCTTTTCCTCTGCTTTTTATTCTGAGCACCTTTCCTAAGAAGTTGAGAGTATCACAGAATCATAGAACTATTCAGATTGGAAAAGACCCTTGGGACCACCAAGTCCAACCATCATCCCTACTCTACAAAGGTCTCCCCTAAACCATATCCACCAACACCACATCCAAACGACCCTGAAACACATCCAGGGATGGTGACTCAACCACCTCCCTGGGCAGCCTATTCCAGAGTATCATTTGTAAAGATGGGGGCAGGAGAAAGGTCAGAGATCAACATTTAAACAGAAATGCCAACAGTAGTTTCCTGACTGTTGATCTGTCTGAATTGGAAAGGCTCATTTTTAAAACTCCTGAAACATTTGCATTTCTCTTGCAGAACTGATAACGCTATCAAGAACCACTGGAATTCCACCATGCGCCGAAAGGTTGAGCAGGAGGGCTACCTGCAGGAGTCCTCCAAAGCCTGCCACTCCTCAGCAGCCACTGGCTTTCAGAAGAACAACCACTTGATGGCCTTTGCTCAGAACCCACCTTCTGCACAGCTGCCAATAGCCAGTCAGCCCCCGCTGAGCAGTGACTACCCCTACTACCACATCTCTGAGCCACAGAACGTAAGCCCCTGAATATCATGGAATCACAGAATGGTTTGGGATTGGAAGGGACCTTAAAGATCATCTAGTTGCAACCCTCCTGCATGGGCAGGGGCACCTCCCACTAGGCCAAGTTGCTCAGAGCCAACTTGCCCTTGAACACTTCCAGGGAGGGGGCATCCACAAATAGCATGGGGGGGAATGTGTTGTTTGTTTTGTTGGAAAGGTGCATGCCATTTAGTCATGCCTGATTTCAGGAAGCATGAAAAGTTTTCTCCCAGACTTGGTGGACTTGGTTTGATGTCAGGCAAGGACTTCTTTGACCTTGTTTACATTAAGTGATGCAAATATATTTGAAATTGATTGTGGGCATTCCAGTGGTGGAATCAGATAAAGTGTTTTAAACTTCTAAGGAGTCAACTTATTACTGGTGCTGTTTCTTATAGCGGTGAATATTACATTTGTTGAAAATCAGTTGAATCTGGTTAATTCTGTGTTCTATGTCAAAATCTCCCACGGTCCCTACAATAACACTCCGTGGATTGCTTTTCGGAACCAAGCAAACAAGTATTGTTTTTAATCTGATTCCTTTTCCATTAATGATTAGTAATGAAACAGGCTGCTACTTTAGACAGTTACACTGTAGAGTTTCAGATCGTAACAAATTGCATCTTTTGCATTTTAACTTCTATTTAGAAAAATCTTACAGTTGCATATATAAATGATTCCTCTTTTTTCATTTAGAAAGGGTAGATATTTCATATATGAATTTTCTTTCTTCCTTTATAACTCTCACTGTTGTATTCCTAAAAAACTGATTATGTTTCTTGTAAATACTGGGTTTTTTCTATTTCATCTGTATAGATTCTAAGTATTAAGTTCCCAATACCATGGTATGATTATCACTAATTAACAGTGCAGGCAGACAATATGATAGAAATAATAACTTCTAGTGTCTTTTGCTTTTTGGCCTAGGTCCCTGGTCAGATCCCATATCCAGTAGCACTGCATGTAAATATTGTCAATGTTCCTCAGCCAGCTGCTGCAGCTATTCAGGTAGATAACTTGAACCTAATTTCAAGAGTCAATTTATTAAACATTTGATAAGTCAAAATGCAGACATGGTACATTAAGGGAACGTTTTAATGTAATAAGTGTGGTGAAGAGAGAAAATGGGGAAGGTGGGGGAGTTCTAACATGGCTAATAGTTGCTTCTTCTGAAGTGGATTTAAAACACAGTAGTTGACATCTGGATGTGAAAGCTTTCACTTTCTCCATTTCAAATGTCTATACTGAAGTTCAACAGGAACTTTGGTTGTGGAAAACACAACTGACGTTTGTTTCATCTTTGAGTCTAATTTGGCTGTTATAACCACAGGACAGCAAGCCATAAGCGTTTTAGTTGCTACACTCTATCAGACCTTTATCTTTTCTTTTCCCTTAACTCTTAATTTCAGAGACACTATAATGATGAAGACCCTGAGAAAGAAAAACGAATAAAGGAATTAGAGTTGCTACTAATGTCGACTGAGAATGAACTGAAAGGGCAGCAGGCATTACCAGTAAGATTGTCACTGTGTGCTTGGATGGAGGGATAGCAGCATTACCCCAGTGCTTGTCTTTTTAACTTTTTACTCCCCTTCTCCCTTCAATACTAATCAAGGCTCTATATTTCCGTTTTAAAAGAATGAAACATAGCACATGTACAATCTGTATTTGCTTTGTAAATTCTTTAATTGGGAAAAAACCAGCAAACACTTTGCAGGTATTTTACTTCGCAAAGTGGGAGCAGGGCTGGGCTCTGCAATGTGATGTGATTTTTGAAATATAATGATAATAAGAAAATGAAAAATCCCACAGATCTTCAATGAATGGGATCTGCATTTCTGGAAGTGTGCGATGGTTCATGTGATGAAAATGTAGTGCCTGCATTTTAGATTTTTCTTCTCTGTTGTATTCTTTCCTTCAGCTGTGTTACGTAGACTTTGTAAGCTTCAGACTTGGTGCATGTTTGACAGTTTGTTTTACTTCTCTGAATAATGTTAGATTCTTCATAACTGCATGTGTGGAGCAAATGCTGGCTATTACTGAATTCTCACACTTTGTTGTATATGCCATTGGATGTTAGTATGTGAAAATCCTTATGTAATTATTTAACAACATCAGCAAAACCAAGAATCCCCAAATTGTATTTGAAGATAGGTGATAGCCAGCAGATTTCTTTTTTTGGGTAATATTTAAATTAATAGTAAAACAACTGCATGCATGATACGTTAGTTTGGCCACTTTTTAACTTTAGTTAATGTTTTGCAATTTCTCCTGTTGCATGATCACACTGGAAAGAAACTTCTGTTAATTTGTTCTTCTGCTTTCCTAACCACGTTGATTTGACAGCCTCTCCATTGCATTGGTGTAAGCTGTAGCATTAGACAGGGATAGAAGAAGAAAAGGAGATAAGCAAACAAAAGCAACTCTAACTCTTTAAGCCTTTAGCCTTCTACAGTGCTGAGCGCTCAGTAGGGAGATCCTGCCATTTCTTGTTTCTCACAGAAAATGACTTGCAGGCACTTTTTGAGCTTTTGGAGTAACCCAGTATGAACTGATTATGCCTTAGTAATGATCTATGCTCTTAATCCTGGAAGTAAATTATGAGGTAACTTTGGAATAACAAATACAATGCTGATGTTACTTAAAACAAGATCTTGCACTTGTGAAAGGAAACATCTTGACAATTGTTTCATAGGCATAAGCCTTTAGATGATGATGCAACTACTTTTATCTTTCCTCCAGTGGCATCTGACACCTTGTGCAATTTCATTGCTAAGTTCCTTCTGCCTTTCCCCCCCCCACACCCTTTTCTCTTTTTTTTTTCCTTCTTCCTTTAGACACAGAACCACACATCAAACTACCCCGGCTGGCACAGCACCACGATTGCTGACAGTAGCAGGACCAGTGGTGACAATGCACCTGTTTCCTGTTTGGGGGAACATCACCACTGTACTCCATCTCCACCAGTGGATCACGGTTGCTTACCTGAGGAAAGTGCCTCTCCTGCACGGTGCATGATTGTTCACCAGAGCAGCAACATCCTGGATAATGTTAAGAATCTCTTAGAATTTGCAGAAACACTCCAGTTAATAGACTCCGTAAGTAGACTTGCCACCTCAGGTGGATTCATGTGTGATCAAGGAGTAAGGGGAGAGGAACTAGGACAGTCCTAAATGTGTGTTGTTGCGCTGGTATTTTTTTGTGAGTAACTTCTAATTGCTACAAGATCTGAATCTTAGCTACTGACCTAACAAAAGGCAGCTGCTCATAGCTGAAGCCCTCAAGTGTGGATTTGTATGCTTTTGTGGGTGTCTCCTTTTCCTGCTGCATCTTGGTATGGGAGTGTGATTTTTAGCAAACTGCACAATGGGAGCTTGGAACAATCACTGGGTATTAACTCTGCATTAAAAAAAAAATCAGAGACACCATGAAAGATTTAAACAGTGAAATTATACTTACTTATATTTAAAGTGACACATGCTGGAGGTTTATGTGTGGCTGCTCATGTTTGCATCATTTCCTAAAATTTTTTGTTGTAGCTTCAAGAGCTGCTTCTTAAAGTTTAGGGAGCTTGCCCTGGCATTTGTGAAGTACTGGAAATATGCATTTTAAATGCCAAGTTAGCTGACTGACATTGACACGGGCCTTTTCTCACTGTGGGCTCTGGGATACGATGTGTAACAGAAGCGGCACATTGAAATACATTTGTTGGTGGCACCCTCCTTCAGCAGCAGGGGTGTCTGCTTCATGCAGGGTCACGTCACATTCAGCATATCCACAGCAGGTGTGCAGGTTAGGGAGGAGACCAGTCTTAGCTTAGAGCCCAAGGCACACATTTTTTTAGTAGGAAAAAGCACCGTTTTCATACAAAAGCAAGTAGATAGTAGGGACATAATTTGACTCACTGTTTCTTTAGGGACTCGGTTGGCAGCAACACTGCTAACATGTTGGACACTTTGAGGTGATTGAGGTATATACTGAAAACACAAATAAGAGTTCACAATGTTTGCACTCAATAAAGAGGGTGAAGCTGAACTGAACTGGGGAAAACTTTGTTGTTGTTGTTGGTTATGGGCATATCCTAGCACTGTATTTTCATGAGGTGGCACTATACACTGTCTTATAGCTCCGTGCCTCCCACGTTGTTTCAGGATCCTTCATCATGGGGTGATCTCAGCAGCTTTGAATTCTTTGAAGACACAGACACTTCGGCTAGCAAAGCTCCCTCAGGGAAAGTTGTGCAGCTTCAGCAAAGAGGGAGCAGTGCTTGTAGACCTCAAGGACACCCCATCACAAACTTGAGCAAACTTATGTTGAGTCAGGGCTCTACTGGCTCACCTCAGTCCTTATCTGCGTCACAGGGCAGCGTGGCTCCTTGGGTCCTTCTTCGCCAAAGGAGAGGGCCCTCCGGCTCCTTAGCCAGTGGCCACGGGAGCACCTTGCTCCTGGGTGATGGCAGCAGCTCAACTCCTCCTAAGCGCTCCCCTGTCAAAAGCCTGCCCTTCTCTCCCTCGCAGGTAGATGAAGACTTCTGCACAGATGTTACTAATTCTCAAAAGTCACCCCAGCCTTAACAATTTAGAAACTAATCCTTTGGAACAAATGACTAATTACTGCTGCACTTGTTGATTTCGCTCCGTGTTTGAATCTTCTCACTCCTCTTAGTCTTCACTGCTGAATTCAGATCATCATCAAGCTAACTGTTGATTCTCTTTATTTTAAATTCATCTGTGGAGCTTGATTGGCTTGTTGTGCTTTTTTTTTCATTTGATCATTTTTGTAGGGGGATAAAATTGCTTGCCTTGCTCTTGCTGTTAAATCCTTCAACTACTAGAGTTTCACATTTCTGATAATTTGTAATACTTTCCATATCTGTCCACTTACAGTATGATTCATTGACCTAGACAACCCCAAACTGCATTTAAATAGCATTCAGATTGTGAAACAAACTGGCAACAACCAGAAAATTCAAATCACGGCTCAGCATCCTCAACTCAGGGGTGGAGAGGAGTAGGAATGAGGAGGAAAATGGCCAGTTAACATGGCCTGGCATGCACTGGCAAATTCTTGTCCATGGTTGCTTTGTTTCACAGCTGTAGCACTATTTAAAAGTGTTTTGGTTCATTTGTTTGTCTATTTGTATTGGGTTTGCTTTTTGCTTTGGACTTTGAAGACAGACAAACACTATTCCATGAATGATAGTAAAAAATTGCATGTAATGATTTCCCACTGTATCTCCCATTACCTAAGGGGCATTTTAAACAGATATCATTTATCCAGTGAAATCCGTATTTTCTTACATGCCATATTTTTTATAAAGTATATTTTAATCCCATGCAAATTGAGTCTAGAATGTAATACAGTGAATCATTGCCAGAATAAAGGACACCACTATGATCACAGATTTGTAGACACTAGAAATGAAAACAATATTTTGGGTTGCTAGATAGAGCTCAAGCAAAAGCAATTTTCTCCAAACTGATATTGCTGCCTCCTTTTTTGGTCAGTTATTTCCATTCCAAAACACTCCATGCACCCATCACAGGTGGCAGGTTTCATTTTATGCTGTGAAAATGCAGCACTTTGTTTTGAGAGGGACGATAGGAAATTTATTTCCTGCCATAAACACTTTATTTACTGCCTTAAAAGTGCCTAGATTTCCTATATCAATCTTTGTGGAATTTAGCCCCATTTCCTGTGGGTTTATTCCTGAAACATCTCGTACTCATTTTCACCCAGTTCTTATTTGAGCACACTGCTCTTAATATGAATTCACTTTTATTTGCAGAAAGTCCAAATCGGGCTTTAACGATGTGGCTCTTAAAATGGTGGAGAGTGTTTCTCATTGGAACAGTCATTTCCTTTATAACTTCCCGCTCCAGAAATGTGTGTTTTGGCTTCCTGAGTGCTCCAGACAAACTGTTAAGTATTGTTTTGCCACACAGTCAGATACCCCATATACACCTACCCACATTGTAGGATCAGGAGAATCAGTTGTATTGATCAGATGGAAAGAATTTATTTTTCTTTTGTGCAATAACATTGACTAAAGAAGCCAAGGTTGTAGTCTGGATGCTCCTGTTGATTTTTTTCTTTCCCTGCCTGCAGTTCCTCAACACCTCATCCAGTCATGAAAACCTGAACCTAGACAACCCTTCGCTAACTTCCACCCCAGTGTGTGGCCATAAGATGGCTGTTACCACGCCTTTCCACAGGGACCAGGCTTTCAAAGCACAGAAGGAAAATCATGTGTAAGTCTGTTAATCTCATTGTCTTGCTGGATTCACAAGGGTTCAGTCCTTCATGTTTTCATGCAACCAGAGTGCTGGGTCACTGCTGCTTCCTGCAGAGTTGTTTGCCAACAGGTTCAGATTTTTCTTAGTTTGGAGTAAAACTTCCACTTTATAACTGTGGGGGTAGGTTATTAATACAGATGAATTGCGCATACAGGCACACCGGTTTTTTAAATAAAGCCATTCTGCTTCATCACAGTTAAATAGATGTCCTGCCAGAAAAGCGAAGTGGTTATAGGATTGTGGGAAAATATTTGTCCATGTCTTACAGCAGCCACTGCCTGTATGCACCTATTTCTGTAAAGAGGTAATATTTCTGAGCCTGTTCCTTTAAAGTTTTGCTCTCTCTTTTTAAAGTTTCAGAACTCCAGCAATCAAGAGGTCAATATTAGAGAGCGCTCCAAGAACACCCACTCCATTCAAAAACGCACTTGCAGCTCAGGAAATCAAATATGGTCCTTTGAAGATGCTGGTAAGAAGGAAACAATGATAAAAGTTGCTTTGATATTAGTGCGGAGGGATGTTCTGGCACTTGGATATAACGTTTCTTCCTTTCAGCCTCAAACTCCGACTCATCTTGTAGAAGATCTGCAGGACGTTATCAAGCAGGAGTCGGAGGAATCTGCAATAGTGGCCGGGCTACATGAAAGTGGACCCCCTTTGCTGAAGAAAATCAAACAAGAGGTAAATCTCAAACTTACCTGAGCCAATTTAATTTGGCACTCTTTGTTGAGAAACTTATACCAATACCTTTTCTGTTAAATAGCTGTGTCTGTTTTTCTTTCATGTGAGCCCCAAGATCTTAGTGTCGGTTCTATATAGTATACTAGGCATGCCTAATTCACCTCCCATTGATTTCCATAGAAGTCTTTCTGCTGTTTTCAGCAGGGGTTTGCTTGGGCTGTTCTACTGCAGTTTTTGTTTGAAACTTAAAAAGGGAAAAAAAAAAAATTAGATGGGAATTAGGATTGAATCTTTCTAATGTTGGTGAAAACTATAGAAGAACCCCACGGGGACCAAGCTCCATGGAGCGACTTAGAAACCTGAACATTTGAGGACATCATGTTATATTACTTTGTCACTGGAGTTCTAAAAATACATGCATTCTCAATCCTTTCTAGGGGATTCAACTCCAAGTGCTGAGTGCAAGTATTCAAAGTTTTAGTAGGTGGAGATTTTTTTTGAGAACCTTGAACTTTTTTCTTCTGCAAAGAGAAAGGGAGCTGTAAAATACAGCCCTGTAAATATGCTTTGAGAAATATTTATTCAATTTATTAAGCAACTGACAAATAAATCTCCTTCTGGTCAGTTAGGTACTAGTTTTTATCACTGTACCTTGCCTGCTTTCAGGTGGAGTCTCCAACAGATAAAGCTGGAAATTTTTTTTGCTCAAATCACTGGGAAGGAGAAAACCTGAACACTCAGCTCTTTACACATGCGTCTGCTACAGAAGATGTGCCAGTAAGTGCCAGTTTTCACGCCACCAAATATTTTACATCTCTGTTGAGTTCTAAAATGCAAGAGAGAAAATAATTTGTCTGATCTTCCTCACAAGTTGGCATTATTCAGTATTTCTGTACTATTTTCCTGTCTTAAGCATAAGAAGTGAAATCCCACTCTCAGTGAGATCACTGAAATGCCTGTAGAAGGAAGCAAAAGCTGCAGTCATCGTGCAGCCCACAAACTGTGCAGTGAGCCTGCACTTGGAGCACACCTGCACTTGTGTATAGAAATTACTAGATCACAGAGTTAAAACTGGCAGAAGAGAGTCTGGTTTGGTTTGTGCAAAGGAAACCTTGCATGGGCACAGTTCCCTTTGCTTTGCTGGGACTGTTCAATGTTACTGTTACTCGCACTTGGGAGCTTCACTGGATGTAAAACATTTGCACCCCGTAATGCTCTTGCAAGGCCACGTCCCAGGGAGCCGAGGTTGAGATCTGCTCCCAGGCTGGGTGCTCCATCTATCACCATGCCCTTCCATCAGGATGAGCTTGCTTTTAATATGTTAAAATTCGGGTGGTTCTCTTGAGTTACTGAAAACTGTTTGGGTTTTGTTTTTTTTCTTTTCCTGTTCAGAACCTTCTTACCAGTTCCGTTTTAAAGATGCCTGTGTCTGAAGAGGATGGTAGTTTTCACAAGACATTTGCAGTACCAAGGAACAGGCCACTAGCTAGTCCTCTGCAGGTAACTATTCTATGGTCAAAATGCCCTTTGTATTTAAAAAATTCATAGATATATATTTATTTCTCACAGACTGATTTAAGTTTTGATTATGGAAGAATAAAACTTTCAGATTAACATAGCTGAGGATCTTACTTCACCTGTGGAGTTGTGCCAGGCTGAAGGCAAAGCTCATGTGTGCAGCATTGTAACTCAGCTGCCTCCAGTCTTAAACTGGTAGCACTAAGGATAGGAGCCACAGGCTTTTTCCTGTAGACTTCTTGTAGGTGGCTCTTGCTGTTTTGGAGAGCAGGAGAACTGCGTGGTATGGTGGTGGCCAGAGCTTGTCACTGGCCTTGGAACTGGAGCAGAGACCCTGTCACTGCTTGGCTGGCTGGCACAGATGCAGCCACTGTTGCCTGTCGAGCTGTTCACCCCAGGGGCCTTTCCCTGAGTGATGGTGGGGTTACACCAAAAATGTGGTTGTAAATGGTGGTCTGAAGGGTCCTTGTAACCTTTATGACCAGCTGTGTGTCTTGGGATTTCTGGACTGGATTCATTGTGTGGTTGTTCTAATTTAAGCCGGGTGTGAGGCTAGATTTTAAATTATCTATGCTTTTTCCAAATGTTAACAAACATACACACTTGCTATACATTAAAATACAGCTGTTGCAAATGGCCTGATCCAAAGCCCACCAAAGGCATTAGCAGCCTTTTTTTCAACTTGTGTGGACTTTAGACAGGGAGGGCCCTGAGTAAGTCATTCAGAAAGCAAAACACAGTGTAGAGTGATTAATTACCCTTCCACCACAGGCTGAATTTTTGAGGTAGCAGAATAAGGGATTTTAAATCTCTTCTCCACACAGGCAAACTGAGGGAAAGTGTTTCATTCCCCAGGGTGAGTCACTGTCAGAAAGGAAATTACAGCTCCATTGTTCATGACTTTGAGACAGATAGTCCACGTGGCTAACCCTTTCTTTCCTCCCTCCTTCCAGAATTAACATCAGAGGTTATTTACAGTAGAAGGAATAAACAAAACCTCATATTGATTAAGCATCTCTAGCCGGGCATTACAAAGCAAATGTTAACATTTCACACGTGTCCCCATTTCGCAGTTTGCCATGGCCTAGGTCTGTATGTTGCCCTGCAGAATCATTTGATGAAAAGCAGCTTTGGGAAATGGGGACTTTGTCTCCTCTCTGCATGGGGGTGTCCATAGGGTCCAAAGGCTCCCTATTGCTCATTCACTCTCCTCTCATAAACAGTGTTTCTGAGCTGCAGCGAGGCAGACAATTAAGCAGAAGGTTTGAAGATTCTCTTCCCCTGGGTTAGGGCAGTTATTTAGGGATTCCACTGGAGAGAGTTCAGAGGAGGGCCACAAAGATGATCAGGGGGCTGGAGCACCTCCACTATGAAGGAAGGCTTAGAGACTTGAGGTTTTTTGGCGTGGAGAAGAGAAAGCTCCAGGGAGACCTCATAGTGGCCTTCTGGTACCTGAAGGGGCTACAGGAAAGCTGGGGAGTGACTTTTTTACAAGGGCTTGTAGCAAGAGGACAAGGGGTAATGGATTAAAACTAGAGGAGGGGAGATTTAGGTTAAACATTAGGAAGACATTCTGTAGTGTGAGGGTGTTGAGACACTGGAAGAGGTTGCCCAGGGAAGATGTGGATGCCCCATCCCTGGAAGTGTTCAAGGCCAGTTTGGACGAGGCTTTGTGCAGCCTGGTCTAGTGGGAGGTGTTTCTGCCTATGCAGGGGGGGTGGAACTAGATGATCTTTAAGGTCCCTTCCAACCAAAACATGCTTATGATTCTATGAATTCAGACCATTTCATGGCAAAGGACCCCAGGGCTCCAGCCTTGCAGGGGGTCACTGGTGCTCCCTGGCTGGGGCTCTGCTGTAGGTTTAGGTCAACATTTTCAGGTAGTTAAACAGCATGTTGTAGGTTGTCCTGTTAGTGGTAGTTGCCTTCACTGTGCCTGTAATAAAAACAAAGCATCTGAGGTGCCTGTAAAATAGGATCTTTTGATCTTTGGAGTAACAGTGTTATATTTCCTGCTATCTAAAAATAATTTCTTTATAAGCTGCTGTAAATGAAAGGGCTTGTTTAACCTCCTCACGCATGCTGATTTTGTTCAGGAAGTTTACTCAAGTCAATTTGTAGGCCATTCTGGAGCCCATTCTTCAGTCTTTGTGCAGGAAAAGCCTTTAATTTTGCATGTTGAAAGTCAGGTATTCTCATTGTTTGGGTAAAGATGACTTTTGCTTAAATAGGAATTAAGTTAAAAATGTCTTCCCTGTTCATCTCAGTGTTTAACACATGTTGAACTGAAGGAAATAGCAGTTGTAAAAAGCCCCAAAACTAACACTTAATGTGCAGCTTCTTGGAATAACAGTATGAAGGTAAAACTATTCTCTCTGCTGATGAAGAAACACTTGAGTGTTTTGGCTGAAATGTAATCCTGAATTAAGAATGACACTAGAGGTTTCTGAGATGGTGGCACAGACAGCTTTTTCACAATGAAATACAGGCTTTTTACAACGATGCAGTCTTGTTTGCTGATCACTGTGCTCTCTGAATTGGACTTAGTGTCATGGTTAAAATGGACAACCTGCTTCATCCCTGGTGGGACTTGCTTGGCCTCACATCAGCCAGGAGTTCGTCCTGTACAGCTCAGAAGGGACACGAGGTCTGGCTCTCTTCCATGCCAGAAACTGCTGCTGCCCTTCCTTAATGTTTCTGTCCCTCCATCCCAGTGGAGTCAGACAACTGTGATAAGGACAGAGCGTGTCCGAAGGGTGCAAAGCTATTGAAAATGTCAGCTTTTGCACTTGCTATTGACTGGTAGCATTTTGTATGTGATCTGTATTTAGGATGTTCTTGGGCTGTGCTTTCTAGTTTATAATTTGGTGTATTGCCCATCTACAGGTGCACACAGCCACATAGACACCAGCACTGGACTAAATCCATGGGTTGCATGCAGGTAGACATGAAAGACCAGGCAATGCATCTAGGTGAAATTTAATTGTGTCTACACATGTTTACATTACTGCTGTTAATATTTTGGGCCTGATCCAGCTGTTCTTGCTTACTCATTGACTTCAGTCCACGTAAGAATCATGGCACTCTCTGCACCTTGGGATGTGTGCATGAAGAGGGAAGAGAGAAAGAAAGACAACACTAAATGTTTTGGTGGTTTTTTTTTTAATGTGCTTGATTCTTAAAATTCCATTGTTTTTTAAATCTGAACTTGTATAAGAGAGAGGTAGTATGTTTACCAGCCTGCAGTAATGTTAATTGCTTTAATAATTTGCACTACATTTACATAAAGAAAATTCTATTTGGCTAGTAACAAATTCACCAAAATACCTGATTACTTCTTGTTTTCCTGTTAAATTCCAAAGAAAGCAAGAATAAGGAATGTTTAAAGCAATCCCTAGGAATATCTTTTGCTTCATTTTGGATATATGACTGATCATATACAACTTAGTAAGTAACAGTTGATGACCATATCAGATAGTGTGATATGATTCACCATCACTTAGGAGGAACAGCATGTTGCATCATTTGGCATGTGAGGTCAGGTAGCTGCACAGAACTGCACTGGGTAGTGGTATCAGTGTTGCATTAGAGCAATGGGAATAAAAGCCCCTGTAGACCCAAGAAGAGTTTAGACTTCATCCTCATTTGATCCCCTGGTTAAGACTCTGTAGAACATTGGGTGTCGAGGCAGCTGCGTGAGGGATCTTTCTGGTAAGCTGTGAAGGTGCAGCAGCTTTTTTGTCCTGCATGGCAAATCTCATGGTTGTGCATTGGGTATTCTCTTACCTTACCTTCCTATTCAGGAATAGGAGATGTCTCACCAAAGCCACGTATTGCTTTGGGGTGGAATTACTCTTACACTCCAGTGCATGGATCCCAAATGCATCTGCTTTATATTGGTGAAGTAAGTTACAACCTGTATTTTTGTCACTCAAGCAATATTCAGTTGCAAGACAGGGAGATTTTAGTCTCACTAGAAACTTTTCAAAGGGTTAACATTTTGAAGTACCACAAGAAGCCCCCATCCCTGAAAGTGTTCAGGGGCAGGTTGGATGGGGGTTGGAGCAACCCAGTGTAGTGGGAGGTGTCCCTGCTGATGCAGGGGGTTTGGAACTAGATGATATTTAAAGTCCCTTTCAACTCAAACCATTCTATGATTCTTTGAAGCCCTTATTGAGGCAAACTGCTGATCTGTACTGAGCATTTGCTTGAATAGTGTCTCATAAGAAATTATCTAAAAAAACCCTGTTTCTGGCCTTTCCTGTATAAAAGTTAGGTTTTATTTCACATTATGTTCTGTAGCAGTAGCAGTACATAATACAAACTATCCTAACATAGACATTTTAACAGACAGAAAAGTAGGCTAAATCATAGACCATCCACCTAACCCTGCAGGCTATCAAAAGTTACCATGAAATGGAACCTTTTAAGAAAATAGCGCTGCTTTGATATCTTCTTCCCCCAGTGACAAAGGAAACAACACAAGGTAGAAGCCCTGCAAGCTAAAGAGAATGTTCTTCAACCTCTAGCTCCTGTCACTCCATTTTTTAACCACAGACTGACACGTTTCAGCTCGAATTTCCTGACTTTCAGTGGTTTATGTAACCATTTTCTTTAAAGTGTAAGTTTAAAGGATTTTAAAGCAGCTAGTTGGTAAACCTTTTTTCCAAGAGTGTGAGCTGTCATTAACCTTTTCTTCATTTAAAAAAAGTGCAGTGTGGAATTTGATTTGCAGCTGGCTGTCAGAAAAATGTATAGGCAAGGCAGCATGCTCCCCTGCAGCAGCAGACTTTCTCTGGTTTTTCTGCATGGCTTTTTTGAGGGACAAGAAGATCCCAAAATCTCATACTCCGATTAAGGGAGAGGGGGAAGGACACAGGGCTCCAGTCCAGGGAGGTGTAAGATTAGCACAGCAAGGGAAGATAGCCCTGTGGATTTCCCTCACTTGCCCCTTCTCTCACCAATGGCTGATGTGTACAGGA